GGGAGGGCCTAGACCCTACCCGGGATGATATGACAGACTTTGAAGATCCCCCAAGGAAGGCCTCACCCTCCCTGAGGAGCGGAGGGGGAATGGGGTGGGGGATTGGGGGGACTAGTGGGAGTGGGGGAGGAAGGGAGGGAGAGAGATCTGGGATTGACATGTGAAGCAAGCTTGTTTCTAATTTAAATAAATTAAAAAATACATATGCATATATAAAACACTCAAATATCTTAAGTAATAAACGTTAAAAAAAAACTTCTTTAAAAGAAAAAAAAAAAAAGATGGAGCCCAGGTACTTAACGTAGCACTCTTACAGATGGACATCTCCATTTTCTAAGTTGCTACCTCAAGCTCCTAATGGAAAATGCATTCCATTTATACTGCTTTATCTCGTTGGTTTCTTTGGTTCTTTGTTTTAGCTTTTATTCCTATACAGTTTCATATACTTATATAATGAATTATAGTCTTTTTTAACCTATTATCCCATCTCATCCTCTCTCCTCCTCTTAAAACCCTTCTTCCCAACATACCCCCTCCTACTTTCTTGTATGTTTGGTGTGTGTAATCCACTAAGTTTAATTATGTTGCCTGAGCATGGGCAGGAGGTTATTTACTGAATCCTGGACAGCTTATCACTGGCTATCCCAGTGAAGCAAGTCGCTCCTCTTCCCTCAGCCACCAATAACTCCTTAGTCCCCCATGGAGGAGTGAGGTCTCATCAGCCCTCCCCCTTTCCCGATGAAGTGCTACCAGGTGTGCAGCTCTCATGCTGGTAGTCCAGCTGCAGTGAGTTCACAGGTACACGGGCCATGGACACATCCAGGAAACACTCATCACAGCACTCCTCCCAACCTCTGGCTTGCATTCTCCCCAGGGGTGATGTAGAGATCACATTTAGAACTGAGCCCAAGGGTCACTTTTTCTCTGCACTTTGACTAGTTGTAGTCTCGTAAAAACCAAAGTCAACTGCAAAAAGAAGCTCGTCTGATGAGGGCTGAGAGGTGCACTATGGGATCAAGGAAGTATTTAGAAGTCACTCTGACACTGTGTCCACCCAGCTAGCACAATAGCAGTAGGTCCTATTTTAGGGATTCTGACCTCCCCATCCCTGGGTTACCACACGCTGCCGTGTTTCTTTCTATGCTAGCTTTACTAGGGGAAAACAAGAATTTTTAAAAATGCCATTTTTGAAGAAGGAGGTACATGCCTGATCTTAGGTGGGAAGGGTATGTAGTGTTCTTTATATAAATATTTGTAAAGCTGTACTAAACAGTAGCCAACAAAATGCTGAGGTTTTTGCATCTTCTAAATTAAAAAAAACTTAAATACAAGAATAGAAATATTAAGTACACATAAGATTGGATAATAAGAATCACTTCCATTTTTGACAGACTTCCTTAGTTCAAAACCCTTAGAAACGTCCTGTAATCAGAACCCATTTTCAAATTCACAGGGAGATACAGCCGAATGCTCCACTCAATCTTTCTATGTCCTTAATTTGGGGTCAGTTTGAATGGCCTGTCTCACATCAGCTGTCATTTTTGTGACTGAAGTGTCATTGCACATTACAGTTTTCATTGGGACAGTTCTCATCTTTGATTTCAATTCAATTTAATTCCAATCAAGTCCTGTGTCTCAGGACAATTGAATTCACTTAGAAACCTTTCTGATCAGATTGTAACCACCACTTCCTGTCATGCTGCTGAATTTCCTGAAGCCTTCCAAACCCATGACACAGCCTCGAAGGCCATTGGGTCTAATAGCAAGGAGAGCGGTGCTGTGCTCAGTGTGGTAGCACTGGAACCAGCAAGGCCAAGATTGGACACACAGTGTTTAAACCACCATTTCTGTCTCCACTCTCCCATCCCTGCCATACTGCACTGGGTTAGTGCTATTCTGAGATAGAGAAACCTCTCCCCTAAGGTCTTTTATAAAAAGATTGGGTGAGAAGCAACTCATTGGGTGATAGAAGTTAGAAAGATGTTGCAATGTGTTTACTTTGTTTTGTTTGATGCAACTGTATCAGTCTTTCCTTCCATTCTTCGTTTCTTTCTTAAAATTGTTTATTTACTTTTATTTTATAGGCAAATAAAACAGTGGTGTTTTACCTGCATGTATGTCTATGTGAGAGTGTTGGGTACCCTGGAACTGAAGTTAGAGACAGTTATGAGCCACCATGTGGGTGCTAGGAATTGAACCCAGGTCCTCTGGAAGAGTAGTCATTACTCCTAACTGCTGAGCCATCTCCCCAGCCCCTCTTTTTTTCCCAATGGGAGACAAAAGGGCATTGGGTAGTAGCATAAGCCATCCATGTCAAACTCAAAATTCTCCTGAGACAACCAGACTATATTTTTTCAGACATAACTTGAACATTTGAGTTTCTCTAGAATAAGTATCTTTCTAAAAATCTTCTCTTGTAAAGAGATAGAGACAACCAGCAATTTTTCAGATATATCAAAACTCCCTTCCCCTATCAGCCTGTGGGCTTGGTCCCTAGCTACAAGTGTTTTGGAGCCTAGTGTCAGTGTTCAGGGGAGAAAAGACAAGGCACATTAGACTCTGACAGGACTGGAGGAGAGTCATTGAGCAGGAAGGTTTCATCTGAAACAGGAGAAACTGGTAGTCCACTCCATAGCATTCCCTGAGGCTCCACTCCATAGCATTCCCTGAGGCTCCACTCCATAGCATTCCCTGAGGCTCCACTCCATAGCATTCCCTGAGGCTATGCCAGAGACCGGAGGCTAAAAACACAAAGAAAGACACCAAATGAGAACGCTGTAGCTACAGTGTCCAGTTGGAGCTATGCTATTACTTGGGTCATTGGCAGACTGGCCTCTGCGCATGATTTTCCTGGACATGGGAAACAGTTTTAAAAATCTAGGCTTCATGGAATCTATGAGAATAATACTAGAAAAGACTCCTAGCAATGGGGGCACAGAGCCTGAACAGGCCATCTTCTGTAACCAGGCAAGGCCTAAGTGGAGGGATTGAGCACCAACCCAGCCACAAAACCTTTGACCTACAGTTTGCCCTGCCTGCAGAGTGTTCTGGGACCAGAGTCTAGCAGAGTCCCCATCAAAGAGACCAGAGAGACTTCGTGCAGCAACTAATAGGAGCAGAAACAGAGTCCCACAGCCAAACATTAGGTGGAGCTCAGAGAGTTCTGCAGAGGAGGGGGAGGAAGGATAGGAGAAACCAGAGGAGTTGGAGACACCACAAAACATGGCCCACAGAATCAATTAACTGAGACTCATGGGGTTCACAGAGATCAGGGAGCCTGTAGATATCTGTCCTAGATCCTCTGCATATATGGTATAGCCGAGTGGCTTAGTGTGGGATTCCTGGCAGCTTGGGTAGGGGTAGGGGTGTAAAGAGAAGCCTTTTCCTTGAGAGAAGCCTTCCCGTCAGCCTGGTTCCAGAGCCACATCAGTCCCAAATAAACACACAGGAGGCTATATTAATTATGAAGCTGTTGGCCTTGCTTGTTTCTTACTGGCTAGCTCTGACTTAAGTATTTATCCCATAATTGCTAATCTAAGTATTTCTCTTACCGGAGAGGTTTCAGGGCTTCCTACCCCATGGTGTTACATCTTGACTTCCTGTGTTTCTCCTGTGTTTCTCCTACCCAGAGTCCTCCTGGATTCCTAGTCCCACCTATCTTGGTTCCCTATTGGCCAACAGTGCTTTATTGATATATACACAGGACTTCCCCATCTTAGGGGAGTAGCTGACTCTTTGCCTGCTTGTGGGACTCTTTTCCCTCCTACTGGGTTTCCTTGTCCAGCCTTGATGTGATGGTCTTATTGTAGCATATTATACCATATTTGGTTGGTGTCCCTGGGAGACCTGCTTTTTTCTGAGGGGAGAAGAGGAGGTGTGAATCTGGTGGAGAGAAAATAGTGATGACTGCAAGAAAAAAGTCTAGCCCTCTGAACACACTCCAGACGGGTCATAACCAACCCAGTATAAAGGTGACTTCCAGGTCTGAACACCTCTGTGATGGCTTGTTTATGCACCCAAGGAAATCTGGTAAGATTTGTTCAAATGGCAAATATCTACTTGCCCTTCCCTGCTACCTTCAGAAATGAATACAGCTTTCCTGAGGGATGTGTATACAGCCATGTACATACCTGAAAACCAGAAGTGGCTTTTTGTCTCCATTGTCTGGCTTTAATTATTTTACTTATGTTGTAGCTTTATTACAGACCTTTGATTTCTGAAATGCATTCTGTACCTTCCAATTGGAGAGCATTTTCTGTTCTCTCGAGATGTATGTAAAGTTTTGTTACTGTATTGACAGAAGTCACTTTGATTTCTCTTTCATGCTCTGTGTCTGCCGTATTAATACCCTCAAATTAATACCCTTAAATCTCCATGAGTTGAATTTCAGTAGAATACTGGGTTAGTGAGCAGCACAAGAGAATATGCTTATCTAAGTCTGAGGTTCTACTAAGAAAGTACACTGTTCAGGGTGATATCTTAATGATACAACACTTGTCCAGCACAAGGACCTGGGACCTATCCCCAGCAAAACACACACATGCATGGACACACATGCATAGATCTTTCACAGCTGGAAAACAATGATTGTTATGTTTCATCGCTCAAACCTCCTTTGTCCAGCCCAGTCGTACTTGCCACTGCTCTACCCCTCACAGTACAGTCCCTTCACCTCAGTTCTGACCATCCATCCACAGCTCCAATTCCTTCTCCTGCCTCTGCATGAGGCTCTCCCTTCTAGCCAAATGGCTCAAACTCATCTTCAGTCTAAGTGGTACGTGTACTTCGAAATCCCCTTAGTCATCTCAAAGGCTTCTTTAGAAGTTTATGTACACCCCTATGGTTCACTTATCCCTTCATGCATCCTTTGAACTCTGGATAAACACCTGACACATGGTCTTTGTGTTCCCAACATCTGTCACGGTGCCTGGTATTTGTTTGGTACACGTTAGAAATGTACAGAGTGAAAACCAATCACCCTTTGTTTCTTCTTCCTACAGAAACGGTGACTGTGGATAAGAAGACTGCTTGTGCCAAGGACACAGTTGGACAACTATGTAACAAAGATCTTAAGTAACTTTTCCCACCTAGCGACACCCAGACGACTCAGTGATGAAATACTCAGCTGTCACCGCAGCAATAACTGGCCCTCTTTCCAAACTGGATGTGGTGAATCTGAATGGTCCATATCTTCTTCAGGTGGCCCAAGCTCATGTGCTCTAGGGAAGCTCATCCTCACTGTCAAAAACCAGATTGGACTCTGGAAGAAAGCAAGTGGCATAGTGAAAGTCCTGAGTGCCAGGAGTCTTAGTGCTAACGTAAGGCCTTTAGTTGTATGGACATGATACTGGTCCCAGTAGTGGTTAGTCCATGATCCAATGCCCTGGAAAGACAGAATCTTTCTAAAAATACATCCAGGTGCTAAATAGGCAGCAGATTTCATTCAAACTCTGCTACATGTGAGCTAATGACTGTCTTCAGAGAATAATTCCACCCCAAAAAGTGCTCCAGTTTTCTAAGGAATGGCCAAGAGAATACTAGGCCAGGCAAGCCTGGAGGAAGTCTCATGAAAGGCAGGTTAGTTCATAGCAAACTCACTGTCCCCTCCCATGCACATGGCAGAGTCCCACTTAGCCATGGCCAGCTAAACCAAGATTCTGGGATTCTAGACCATTGTTTCCGGGTAGCCAGCAGCCACCTCATTTCTAGCGATGACATTCCTAGAATGGGACGTGTCATACTTATTAGAGAATCATACCTCTCAATGGCATGCATGTGCATTCTGGAATATTCTTTCCTGGGCACAGGAGTGTGTGTTATAACTGAGAGATGACACGGGATCCACTAAAGACACAGACAGCTTTTGGACTTTCTTGACATGACTACCTTCTGGATATTTCCATATGCAGCAGCCCAGAATATAGACTTGGGGAGCCATAGATAGAGGCTCTTTCTCACTTCAGACATATCACTTTTGCAGCACTTAGGGAATGGAAATCCTACAAGAATGAAGGCCAAGGGCTGTCCCAGGGTAGCTCATCCATTACCCAGCATCCTTCTCAGCCAGTCTACTGCCAATTCTACACCTCATCCTTCTTGCTTCTCCCTCCATGAAATGAAACCAAAGGCCTCAGCATACCCTGGATGGATCGGGAGCTGTTACCTAGAGGTCCTCATTGTGGGTGCAAAGTACCTTCTCCACACACCTGCATCACTACTCCATGATTGCACTTACCTTTCATACAGTCTCTGTAACAGAATCCAGAGTTGGGTTGCAGTTAACCATCCTGGAAACAGCCTTCTCTTCATTTCAATTCACATTTCAGTGTGGATTGCACTGGATAGACACAGCATCATGACATGTTAGTGGAAAGTTCTGGTTGCCATGCACACCTAGTACAAGAAATCCTGCTGCCAGTGTCAGATCTTGTCAGATCTTAAAAGGGCGGAGGCCTTTGGTTGTGTACGGCAATGTTAATTCACTCAAGCTTAGTGTATTTCCCAGCCTGCCTCATCCATTCCCATCTCTTTCCAACTTCCATTTGCAGGGGGTTCAAAGGGAACCCCAATCCTGCCTATGTCTGATCAAACGAGAAAAACACACCTTCCTTTCTTTCCACCACGGGTCCCCTCTACACAATCCCTTCCCATTCAAACATCCTCCATCTTACCAGTGTTTAGAACCAAAGCATGAAGGGTGCATGCCAACAGGATAGTGAACAGAAATACTGTCACTAGATCCGGGCAGATGCGCCTAGAAGAATGGTCCCAAAGAAAGAATGGCTCCAGCAAAGGATTATCAGGCAGCCATTTTGTTAAGCTTTGACATGCCCTTGGCAACGGGAGCTCAGGTTGGAGATGCTGAGATAGCCTTTTGATCCCAGCTCAGGAAAGATCTCCTTGCCTTGAGCTAGCAGTCCTGGGGTATGAGTGAATAAGCTACTGGCTCAAAGGTCGCTCTGCTGGGGCATTCGGTCAAAGACGACTGCCCACATGGTGAGCATATGGCTTTGTGTGTGGATAGCTTTACCTAGCCAGTGCAGTTGTGGCCAGAAGCTGGCTATCAATTTGAATTCCCTCAGCTCATTTGCAACTCTGCCTCTGTTCTCTTGTGTTTTGTTTGGTTGCCCTTTAGTTTCCTAGTAAATATTCCTTTTGAAAAATAAAATCGTTGTCTCATTGAATTGTGGGGGAAGGTGAGTTTCTGGCACTTGTCTTTTCCGGGATAAAGGGACACTACAATATCTTAAAAAATTGAAATGGTGGACAGATAAACACCTTGATCAGATTGCAGGAAAACCCTTTGGGGAGATGTGGTGCAGAGACAGAAAAAGACCAGATGTCCCCCCAACAATCCCCAGCTCTTCTCCTTACTGCCCTCACGTCGGGGAAATCTGCCCTGGGTGTGTTGCACTAAAGTGTCTCTTGGGCTATTGAACTGTGTGCATTCAGCAGGGATGTAATGTCCAGTACATGAGCGAGCACTGACAAGAGTTGGGGAGGCGGGGAAGATGGGCGTTTCTCTAATGTGCATGTTTCTAAAACTAAGGGATACAAACTCTTCATGGCCATTAGTAACCAGTGTTTCATATGAAAAGAAGAAAGTCACTTACACTCAAAGAGAACTAACAGACAAGTGGAGAATGGCTTCCTATTGATATGCTTAGACTGTCCTCCAATGGTGGGTGTTCTAGATACCTATTACTATGTAAGAAAACATGACAAGACAAGATATAATGGGGTGTGTGTGTGTGTGTGTTTTAGATAGTCTCTCTATGTGGCTCAGGCTAGCCTCAAACTCACAGGTCACATGCCTCAGCTTTGAATGCTGGGAGTAGACACATTGACTATCAGCAGACTATAGCAGCTTAAACGGTCATGTGCTGACTTCAGATTCTGTGGGTTGCCTGGGTTTGGGTGATCTCCCTCTCTCTCTCTCTCTCTCTCTCTCTCTCTCTCTCTCTCTCTCTCTCTGTCTCTCTGTCTCTCTCTGTCTCTCTCTCTGTCTCTCTCTCTGTCTCTCTCTGTCTCTCTCTGTCTCTCTCTGTCTCTCTCTGTCTCTCTCTCTCTCTCTGTCTCTCTCTCTCTCTCTCTCTCTCTCTCTCTCTCTCTCTCCTGTCAGATGGCAGCTGGGGCTGATGTCATCTGAAAGCTTGATTGGATTGGATGCTATGTCTGGCTCCTCAGCTGGGATGATGGAAGATAGTAGGAGAATGGGCTTTTCTTTCCACGTGTTAAGCTCCAGCTTCCTCACAACTCAGAGCTCTCACAACAGTCAGACTTCTAGAGCAGCCAAAACTAACATTTTAGGAAGTCCTGGTTCTTCTCAATAACATCTGAAGTAACAGTCATTTCCACAACATGCAGTGGGTTAGGAACGAGTCAAAGGGCCAGCCCAAATTCAAGGGGACAAAGTTCTATACAGCAGTGGAAAGTGTTGTGACTCATTGGTATCTTGAGATGCAATGGGGATAGGAGTGGGGATAGTGAAGGTGCAGAGTCAAAGAACTCCCTAGGTAGCTGACACTGGAGGTAAAACCACCGAGAGCCTTGGCTATGGTAATCCAGTGCCCTGCTGCCAGGCTGCATCCTCAGCCTAGATGGCTGCCACTTTAAAAACACAATAGTTAACATGCACAGGCAATGGGTAGGAAAGAATAGAGGAAGACAGAGAGCTACCCATAGAGAGCTCAATAGCATAAGCTAAGGAAAAGCAGCTGGTTATGAGTGATAAAGCATGACAGATGGCAACTATGATTACTATCACTATTCTAACAGTACAGAAATTAGAGTGGAAACCTAATTTTTCTTTCTTCTCTGCACCAAACCAAAGGGGCCAACAGGACCTCACCATGCTTGAGATTGTCCTTAGAGATAGAGGTGATGATAGAAGTTAGTTGTCCCTCTTCACAAAGAACCAATGTGGCTAATTAAGAGGGATTTTACCAAATCTAGTTTGAACCTAAAAATCTGTCTGCCTCCATCTCTCCTGCAGTTGACCTGCCCAATGGAATGGTCTAGTTCACTGCTTGTCTCTATTCCTTGGCCCACTCCTAATTCGTCTCCCTTGCTAGAACTTTCACAAGAAACTTTCATGAAGGAACTGAAATAAAACACAAGAAAAAAAGTAAAACAAAGAGAAAAAAATTAACCCAACAGTGGGAAAGTTGCCCTACCAGGGAAAACCTGCAGCAGAAACCGAGGAAAAGCTGACAAAAAGATGGTAGCCTGGTATTCTGGGAGATGCAGAAAGTGAGCCCGGGTCTCTCTTAGCCAAGGACAGGTAAAAGGTGAACGAAGCAAATCAGCTCTGAGCAACACTGTGGGCAAGCATGCGATTACTTGATACAGATGAAAGGCCCTTTACTTAGTCTCCCATATGACTAGACAAGTCGTTCCCAGGATGGTAGCAGGAACTGCTTCCTTCTCCCACCCAGAAGGCCTACTTCTTGCTACCTATATCTCCTGCAGCACTCACCTGGCTGTGGATCCTATGTCCCATCTCCACCATTTGGATCCATGGTCTCTGAGCCTGGGAAGGATTAAAAACTCAAGCTAAAGCTGGATGGTGGTGGTGCATGCCTTTAATCCTAGCACTCAGGAGGCAGAAGCAAGCAGATCTGTGTGAGTTCAAGGCCAGTCTGGTCTCCAAAGCAAATTCCAGGACAGCCAGAGTTGTTACACAGAGAAACCCTGTCTTGAAAAACAGACAAACAAAAAGCAAACCCCAGTTAAAAGAGAGCCCCCAGGGATCCAGCCCTGTGTTACAGTCTTCTCAAGTAAGCTTCAGTGCCATTAAGATCCCCGGTTCTTCCTCACAGGCCAGGGTCAAACTTTCATATCAGACAGCGACTCTTACAGCACCTCCTTCTGGTGGGGAAGGGAAGAACAGACCAAAGAGGTCTGGCCCACTCCCTCCTGTGTCATGGTTAAAGGCACAAAAAACACTTTATAAGACTCATTTCTCTGACAGCTGGGTGAGCTTGGCAGACAATGCAGGAAAAAATATTTATCAATGTGAAATGTACTGCTGATACATCTTAAAATCTACAACGATATTGCTCGTCTACATTTTCTTTATTATTTGAAAATTCAGCTTGTGATCTACACAAAGTTCACTTCTTTTTGCTTCATTCTAAGCTTATTGTAGTTCTTATTCCAGTGATTATCCATTGCATTCAAGCTACTTCCAAGCCAGCATTTGACATAGGAATATTAACGGATTTTCCTATCAAGCAAACACTATTTTAAGACTTATTTTTATTTGTGAGTGTGTGTGTGTATGCCTGTTTGCAAGCATGTTTATACACAGCATGTATGCAGGTGCCTGTGGAGACAAGAAAAAGACAAGAGATCCCTTGGAGCTGGAGTTATAGGCAACTGTGAGTCAATGTGGGTGCTGGGAACTGTACCCAAATCTTCTAGAACAACAAATGCTCCTACCCACTGAGTCATCTCTCCAGCCTATCAAACATCATCTTTAAAACCCTGACTTCCTTACAATTTAGATAAAATGTCTTTTTCATGAGTACGGCATCTGAGGCTACACTTAGGATTTGCCTAGATTTGAATTTATCAAAAACAAATAAAAATTCATCCAGTTTTCCAAACAAAGGTTTAATGCAAAGAAAATAATAAAACAGCTACTTCAAATACCTGAAGATGCTTGTGAGGATTTCAGAGATGAGCTTTTAAATTGTATGAATTTGATAAATAAATCTTCCAGAAGCAAGCTGCAAAAGGTAATGATTTTGAAAATACATACCTTACCCTCAAAAGAATTTATATTTAAAATAAAGCTTTTAGACAATTCTTTTCTAACATAAGAATTTGATAAAGAGGAGCATTGCTATACGTGTGTGTGTGTGTGTGTGTGTGTGTGTATGTGAGAGAGAGAGAGAGAGAGAGAGAGAGAGAGAGAGAGAGAGAGAGCCTCACATGTACATGATGCCTGGGGGCGGCGGGGGGGGGGCTAGAGGTTGACATCAATATCTTCCTCAGTTATTCCCTATCCTGTTTGCTGAAACAGAATATCATACTTCCATCCAGAGTTTGCTGATTCAGCTACTCTAGCAAGCCTTTCTTGCTCAGGAGGTCCCTGCTTCTGCCTCCCGTGCAGTGGGACTGACTACAGGAGGCTCACCACGTAAGGACTAACTACGGGAAGCTCATGTGGGGTCTGAAATGGTCTTCAAGCTCATCCATCAGTGCTTTACCTGGTGAGCCATCTCCTCAGCCCCATCCTGCATTTTTGTGTAAGCCCATGGCTGGAAGTCTACCCCCAAAACACCAAAAAGTCAAATGTGCATTCCAATAGGAAGATAGATGGGGTGAAGACAGGAGAATCACCTGGAAAGTTTTGAGAGAACTACTCTGGATTACAAGCCACAGTGGCAGCAATGAGAGACCCTGTCTTAAAACAAGGGGGAAGGAGAGAACCAACTTCTAAAAGTTATCCTCTGATCTCTGCACATGTATACACTTCCTCATCCACACACACACACACACACACACAGAGAGAGAGAGAGAGAGAGAGAGAGAGAGAGAGCACTAATAATAATAAAATAATTTTTAAGATAGAAAGTAACTGAGAAAGAAATCTGATACCAACCTCTGGCCTCCACATACATATAACATTTGTGCACACTCATAGACATATATGAGAACATATGCACACACCACAGACAAAAGAGAGAATGAAAGGAAAGCTGCCAACACTGTTTTCTGAATTATAACTCCAGAGATTAAAAGTATTTCAAATGAAAGTAAGTACCTAAAAGATACATCAGTTTTACCATGTTCTCTGCAAAGTTGAGTATCACGTTATCTTAATTAACACTACTGATTTTGAAAGAACTGTATTTACTATCATGAAATTAACATGAAGATTTGTAAGTCTTCTGGTGCATTCTACACTGGAAAACCAGAGTGAGAAGTCAGTGACATTCGCTGTGATGCAGATGGTCCTGGGGGACTGGCAAGAAGAGGCTACATTCCTGATGTGTTGTGATGGACCTCTGGGTCTTCTCTCTTAGTTCCTGCTGCCCTTCTCTCTGACCACCTGGGTGGGCGAGACTGCCCTTGCTGTAACCATCTACTGAGCAGTTTAAACAAACCTGCTGGAGTTCCTGCACTGAGGTAACACCAGCTTGGCAGCAACGACAAGGG